GATGGAACTGGAGGGTATTATGCTAAGTGAAATTAGTCAGTCAGAGAAAGACAAGTATCATATGACTTCACTCATACGAGGACTTTAAGAGACAAAACAGATGAACATAAGGGAAGGGAAGCAAAAATAATATAAAAACAGGGAAGGGGACAAAGCAGAAGAGACTCATAGAGAACAAACTGAGGGTTAATGGAGGGGGTATGGGAAGGGGGATGGGCTAAATGGGTAAGGGGCATTAAGGAATCTACTCCTGAAATCATTATTGCACTATATGCTAACTAATTTGGATATAAATTTTAAAAAATAAAAAATAAAATTAAAAAAAAGTATAATTTCATGTACAACTACTTTTTAGATTAATATTCTGTTTTAGGGTTTCCTGAAGGTTCAGTCTTCTGGCTAAGTCTCTTGGCCACTATGTGCAGTGCCCAACCTTGGGGGGCTATACAGGGGATCCCTGTAGACAAACCTTCCAACTATTCCTAGAATCCTGCTCCTAGGAGAGCACCATATGGGTACAGAGCAGGAGTGAGCAGACAAGAATGAGCACCAAAAGGAATGGAGGAAAGAAAAGAGGAAGTGAGGAAAGCAGGAAGCAACACTTCTCCCTCTACCCTTTGTGGCAATGTGAGCTAAGCATGGCTGCCAAGCAAACAGTGGTGTGGAAGACTGGGAAAGAGAAGCTAGGCTGGCTGTGGTATGCCACTGGGTGGAGTTAAAATTTATAACAAGGGAGAGGCAACCGAAGAAAAGAAAGATTCTTTTAAAAATTCTGCTGAAGCCCAATTAAAAAAAATTCCACTCCCTCATGGTTAGTTTTAAGAGACTTCCCTTTCAGAATTATTTTCAGTCTGGTGGTAACAGGCAGGAAGAGTATCAGATGTTCATAAAGTGGATACTCCCCACCCCCTAAAACATAGGACTTGCCCACATTGCTTTTCTGACTTGGGTTATGAGGATACAGGATATGAAGTTGTCAAGGCGTACATCTTTCCAGAAAGGAGTGTCTCATGTGGTAGACTAAAAAAAAAAAAAAAAAAAAAAAAAAAAAAAAAAAAAAAAAAAAAAAAAAAAAAAAAAAAAAAAGCTGAAGTAGTTTGCGACTCCTCCAACCAAAGAAGTGAAATGGATTTTGCCAGTCCTTGAATCTGGGTTATACTCATGGGATGTTAGAGGCTTCTAACACCCAGAGGATATTACCTGATGTAAGCAGAGGCTTGAAAAGTGCTTGTACACTGGGGCTTCCTGTCTTTGGCTCTTTTTTGGAACCTAACCACCCTGTGAAGAAGTCTAGGCTGGCTTGCTAGATACTGGAGACATGTATCCTGGTCACCTCTGTGGCTCCCCACCAGCTTCCAGACATGTATGTGACACCGTCAAGGACCAGCAGGCCCCAGAAAAATCTTCCAGCTGACTACAGCCATACACGCAAATCCAGGTGAATCCGGCAGAAGAACTTCCCAGCTGAGCCCAGCCCAGACTGCTGACCCCAGAATGGTGAGATAATGGATGATCATTGTTTGAAGCCTCTGAGTTTTGGAGTGTTTTGTGCGTGCCAAAAACAAACTAATATATTCTACCTAAGAGGTGTGGAAACACATAGAGTAACAGCTACCTTACACCTTACTATAAGAGAAAGAGTCAGAGTCTTGGTTTTGGAGCCCCAGTGTGGTTCCATCGCTTACTTGGTATGATCTTTGGTAACAACAAAAGTTCCTACTTTGTAGGGTTGTAATGAGAACTGTGTCAGTCAGCGTGGCCTATGGGAATGAGGATAACTTGGGGAGAGTTTATATAGGGACACTTGTATTTACAAAGGTGTGGTTGGGGTTCAGGGAACCACAAGGGCTAGTGGAGTGCTCTGGGGCCATGTTACCATCATGGGTATGAAGACGCAAGGGAGGGCACGGTGACTGGAAGCTAGAGACAGAGCAGGCTGGTCCAAAAGTGTCACTTGACAGGAGCCATGACTTTGGGTTGAGAGATGAAGCTGTTCTGCAGTGATATCACTGGGAAGGAGCTAGAGGAATAAAAATTCTGATCTACACTTCCTCCTCCTGCCTACTTCTTGCCAGTGCTCTTGTTTGTCAAATCTGACTAGAAGCCACTAGACATGCATATCAGCCTCTAGTGGCCAAAAGCAAGGTGAAGCAGGAGGGACAATGGTTATGGGGCAAATGGAAGGTGTCAAGTCCAAGAATTCAAAAGCAATAGTGCATATAGAAGTACTGAGCATGTACCTAACACCCAACAATCATTATTACATTATCAGTATAAACCAGGGGCTATGGGTGACAGAAAAGGAAATGATTATTTTTTTCTAGGCTAACCTGGGGAATATTCATGGAGAAGGAATGCTTTGGGTTGTGGTTTGGAGAAGTGGCAAAATACTAAAAATAATGATAAGAAGAAACATTTGCTTAGACTTTACTATGTGCAGGTACCATTGCGAATGCCTTAATACATTAATTTATTTAATCTTCATAACCATCTTCTAATGTAGGTACTATTATTATCCCTATTTCACAGGTAAGAAATGGAGGCAGAGAGAAGTTAGATAACTGAGGTCACACAGCTAGTAAGTAGTGGAGTCAGGATTTGAACTGATTTTAAAGGTGGTGTAGGGCATGACATTCATTATTTAGGCACAGAGCTAGAGCACGCTTGTAGAAGAAGTAGACAATCATCTAGATGAAGCACAGTGTGGGATTTCTGCTGGAGGACAGTGAGAAACAGTCTGGAGAGAGAGGAAAGGACCAGATCTCTGAAGGCTGGAATGGTAAGCTAAGGAATTGGTCTCCATTCTGGTAGTTGATAGGAAGCCACAAGAATTTCAGAGACAGGTAGTCACAGCAGAGGGCCAGGGAAATGAATGTGTGCATAGAGTGAAACTAACAGAGCAGGGAACAACTGGAAGCCAGGCAAGCAACAAGCAGATACTGCAAGAGTCCAAGCACCAGGGAATAAGGGCTAGCATAGAATGATACCAGCAGAGATGGGGGGCAGGGACATTAGAAGTGCACTGCAAGGGAAGGCTCAAGGGGCTTGGGGACCAATGAACTGGGTATATCAAGGGGTCTGAATAAAGAGAAATAGGACAGAAGGTCTAAGACCCAGGTGACAGGGTCAGGATGGTGTCAGATGTACTATTCAGCCATCTCAGTGTACAAGCTGGGGAAAAAAGTGTGTATCATCTACTCATGCATGTATTCGGGTTACAACACAAATGCTATAAAGTTGTACCAACCCCCAGTCAATTTCAAAATAACAACTGGTTTTGTAATGCCAGCTCCTGGTGAATTCAGTTGTGAACCTGGAACAAGGATGGGGATGGATTCAAGGACTTCTCCCTGAGGTTGTGAGAGAACCAGAGCTGCAGGATATTGTGAGATTAGTTCTGGGGAAGCTGGAAGGATGCTTGGTTGCCCGGCGACAATGCTGCCTCCATAGCAGCCCTTGGTTTCCTGCAGTCCCGGATGCATCTCATTAAAAGAAAACAGGGACAGCTGGCTGACACATTTTCTGAAGTGGCATTTTCAATGTCCCAAGTCTTGGTATCTTGTTTATAAGTGGCACTTACAACATACAAGGAAAGGGGGAAAAGGGGGAGCGGAAGAAAGGTCTCCTAGGATCTCGAGCACATGAGGAGTTGATCTTGACTCTATGATTTTAGCTTGTCTAACAGAGATGGGGTGCAGAGCCTCCTTGAAATCCACCTGAAATGAATTAGCCTGAAGTTAAAGTAGGTGTTTATCTCAAGTCATTGCCTCAAATAGCTGACTACCTGTTGGAAGAAGGGTCTGATCGATGCAAACCAGAGCAGCCGTGCGTGAGCTGTTACACAGCGGTTAATATTGATCAGAGCTAAAGGCTGCCGATAGGAATGTGGAGTGAACTGACAGGCAGAGAAGAGGGAAGGAGGAAACAGCCTTCGCTGGTGGCAGCTGTACAGAGGAAAGCTGATAAAAAGTCAATTCCACTTAACTGAATGGCTGCTAACTAAATATTTTTGGGGCCAGAGCCTTCCCAGGTAGCAGCTGGAGCATCTCTGTTCCGGAACTGAGACATCAAGCGAGAGCTGGGCATCGACAAGCAAGATTGCAGGGCCCTGGTGATGGATGGGGGAAGAGGAGAGGCCCTCTGATGGAGGAATGGGTAGCCCTGGTCTTGGCTGAGCTGAATGGGTGCACTGGAGGAGAGCCACTGGCCCTGCAGTGTTGCTGACATGCATGAAAGCGACCAGAGCTGGGCTGGAATTTGTGAAACAGTCGCTGATTAATTAGTTCATTTAAAATGCTGATGCTTTTCTCTGAACTTAAGTAAGGGGTGTTGAAACTAACTGCTGCAGTAAGGGAAAGTTGAACAATGGCTGGACCTATCACAGAGAGAGAGAGAGGCAGAACAGTGCAATATAGCAAAGTTAAGAGGCTGGCTTTGCACAATACAGTGTTCACTGATAACTTATTTCCTGTACTTCTATGCACTCAGAAGGGTTGCATTTCTCTTTCTCGAATTAGGTGTGGCTATGTAACTTATTTTGGCCAATAAAATGTGAGAAGAGACATGTGTCCCTTTGGGTGGAAGCATTTAATTGCTAGTGCACAGCTTTTCTGCTCTTTGCTTGCCACTGCGATCACAGTGCATTGGTATGGATAGGAGCAAAGGCATCTGGAATGTTAAGCTAACACATGAATAGTTGTCCAGAACTGCATTGTATTTTGTGTAAGTAAGGAATACACTTCTATTGTGTCATACCACTGAACTTTTGGGCTTGTTTGTTACACAGCATACCCAAACCTTTCTGACTAATACAAGTAGGTCACTATGGCTACCAGCTGCGGGTAGTTGGATGATTTGGCCTATGTCTAATCCACCCAAATCTTGGCTTATGTATATAAAGCATAAAAACATCAGCAACAATAAAATTTATGATGCAATGAATGCTTCCAAGATACAGGTATGGCACAGGCTCTACCTATATTAACTAGTGTAATTCTCAAAGCAACCTTGTGAGGGATCTATTATTATCCTCATTTTACGATTGTGGAACTCAAAGTTCACAGAAGTCAAAAGACTTTCCACGGCCACACAGCTTATAAATGGTAGGCAGGAATTCAAACCCTAGCAGACCACTCCAGAGCACTTTTTCTTAACTATTTTCCTATCCTAGATCTCAGCTTAGGTGCTTAATAAATAATAGGTCTCCTAGTATATAGGCTTGGGAATAAATCCACCCATTTTCTCATACCCAAGTGTTCTACATAGGAGGAGAAGAAGAAAACATGGTTAGTATTTCTTTTGAACCTTCACTATTCCCCTTCCCTCAACCCCATAAACCTCTGTAGGGTTTGAGCCTATCTGTAATATTCTTCTCCACTTGTTACCCAAATCCTGGGTATTTCTAAAGCTCCAGATCAATTTCCTACTCATTTGGGATACAAGAAGTGAATTCCTCATCACTGGAAGAGGCTGAATGGAGTTCTGTCAGAGGGTCTCATTCTGAGGAGTTTCTCAGCTGTAAAATAGGGATAATAACACCCATCTTACTGTATTATCAGATACTATTTTTCACTTGTTTTTTAAACATCATATTTTAGGTTTTAGATGCTGCACTCTGTAATTTTATATGTATGTGTGTGTATACACACATATAAAAGATCTACCCATCATCTGTCCCTCTCTTTCTCTATTTTTTTATATCTTCACAGCAACACTAGGAGGTAGATATTACATTATATCCATTTTAAATATAAGGAAACTGAGGGACACCTGGGTGGCTCAGTCTGTTGAGCATCTGACTTCAGTTCGGGTCATGATCTAATGGTTGCTGAGTTCGAGCCCCACATTGGGCTTGCTGCTGTCAACACAGAGCCTGCTTTGGATCCTCTGTCCCCCCCTCTCTCTGCCCCTCCCCTGCTCTCTCTCTCTCTCTCTCTCTTTCTCAAAAAAACAAAAAAACAAAAAAACAACCAACCACACTTAAAGATAAGGAAACTGGGGCTCAGATAATTTAAATACTTTTCCAGAGGTCACCCAGTTAGAATGAAGGATGGGGGCTAGTTCAGATTATGCCTCTAACGCCTATTATCCTTTCTATAAATTCTTGTGCCTCCCTCCTACTTGTGGAGTTAAAGTGAAATAACACAGTTACGATTTTTTTCAAGTACAGTGCTTGGCACATAATAGTAGCCCAGTAATTGGTAGCACTTATTATAATTCCTTCATAAACATTTATTAGCAGCTCCTGAGAGGCTCCTCACCCTTATGACCAGCCTGCAGGGGATATGGGCAGCTATGCAGGTGGGAAAGGAGCCCCTGGAGAGTAGAGAAGCCCAGAGCACTCAGCACCTGCTGGGTGCTGAGCACTTGTCATTCAGGTTCACATTCATTCTTCACAATGACCTTCAGGATGGTGACATGAGTTGTCCCATGTCCAAACCTAGTATTTGAGGCCAGGACTCAATTTTTAGCCACTAACCCATGCTGTTCTTTCCTTATGACTGTAGGTGTGGGAGACAAGGATGGTGATGGACTACTCCTTGACCATAGTTAGAATTTATCTGGACTGACCTGTGGATCCCATCCAGCCTTGTAGGGAGGAGGAAGAGTGCTCATCTGTTGTCAGTTGTACGGCCATGAGACACTCTAGGAATAAGGGACCTTACACTATGTATCTCTTTACTTTATGCCTGTTGTTATGCTAGGTATCTCCTTATGACTTCCGCATATCCTTCCCAAACGGATATTACTGACCCCGTTTGATTGATGAGGAAACTGAGCTTCCAAGAGTTTAACTGTTATCTCTTATTGGTCCCCGTCTTCTCTGCGCTCTTATGAGAGCATTTCATAATTTTGCTGACTAACAGTACTTCTAAGTGCCTTAATTAGGGGGTCATTTTTGCAGTCTGCTTGTCAAATTCTAGTTACTTGACGAATGTATTCCATTTATTGATACATCAATGTATTGATGTGTGTGTGTGCATATGTGTGCCATCCCTACGCTCAGGTTCCTCTCAACCAATATATTAGTTCTATGCTGAGATGAGTATGCTCGGGCTGTTTTGAGTTTCTATGCTGAACACTTAGCAACTTCAATAAACTTCATTCCTTTAGGTAGTAGACTTAATATTTTAAGTATAGTTTTAATCCCCATCCTCCTCATGTTGAAGTCAAAACCAGGAAAAAGGAGAAAATAAAATCTAGCCTATGAGCATTGCCAACGATTCCACTCTGCGAGAATGAAGGTCAGGATTCCAGAATGTACAGGCTAGAGCGCTCTCTAAATTGTTTCTTCAGGCATGGGCACATAATGCTTAAATCACTTTTTCACTGGGTTCTATTCTCTCTGCATAGGCTGTAAACATTTATCTTTGGGCTTTCCCAGAAATGTGTCTTATGGAAGGGATTAGCTGTTTGCGCATTTAAAGTTCCGAAGGTGAACTTCTCTAACCTAACCCACATAATTAAAGTGGAAAATTTCTGGTGGGGGAAGAAAACCAACAAGGAAAATACCGTGTTTGGGAAGGGAGCTGTACTCTTACAGTCTCAAGAGATGGCTTCGCATTCTCTGGCACTTAATTATAACCCGTCTTGCTGGGCGTTCCCATTTTTCTGCCTGTTCTGTCTCATCTTTGTATTAAGATGATAAGCAGCTTGAGGGTGTGACACTAGAGTGGAGAAGGTGGTTGGTTTTATGGTATGATTCTTAAACGTGACATTCATTAATTTTTTAATACAAAATGTATAAGGAAGAAAATAACACATAACAAAATAAAACAAAAGTTGTCTTATTCTGATAAATCCTGTTGTTATAAAACAAAACCAACAGGTAGAGCCAGGTTTGAGCGTTCAAATAATATAGAAAAACACAAAAGGAAAAGGAAAAACCGTGCTATCCTCACCTGAACTCAGTCCTTCTCTACAAAAACTACCACTGTTAACAATTTCTTGCGATTCCTTCCTTCAGTTTACAAAATATATTCATAGTATAATTTTAGCAGCACCTAGAAAGCCCTGTTTCTTACTTACTGTCTGTCCTCTTTGCTATAATGGCTGATATTACACCATCACAGACTTGCTCCTTTCCATGTGAGTACTTATATACCTAAGCTATTTCTTTTATTCAAAGATATTCTTAGTAAAAATATAAAAGGCAAGAGGCAATGTTAAATGTTTGTTATCTCCCTACCTCCCACAACTGGAGCTTGGGCCTGAACTATCAGCTGGGCCTGGAATTACATTACTTAGGCCAAATCCAGAGTCGATCTCTTGCTGGCTCTTTAATTTCTTAGTTCTTTCATCTGTCAGGTGGGGTAGTAACAGTATTTGCTTCATAGGGTTGTCTTGAGGAATCAGTGAAAGAGGAGTACATGAAAAGTACTAAGAACAAGTCAATGCATAGCATTACACAGTAGGTCTTGAAAAATGCTAGCTATATAATTAATGACTAAACAGAAATGATTTCTGAAACAATTGCCCTTTTTGAGTGCCTAATAAATTCCAGACATGGTCTAGAGTGCTTTATGTACATGACTCATATAATCTTCTGTACAGCCCCAAGAAGTTGGTACTAGTAATAAGCCATTCCACAGAGGGGGAAATCCAAAAGCATAATGTAACTTGCCCAAGGTCATGCAGCTAGGTCTCAAGGGTGAACTGGGCCTTGAGGGCACATCTGTCTTTCCACTGGGCCAGCTAAAGACCAGGGCAGTTTCAAGGGGGGAGCACATAGAAGGACCCCTGGGCCCAGGGATGCTAGTGAAAATGTGGGCTGACACCATGGAGGGCAGAGAGTGGGGCCGGGGGGGGGGGACACCTGGAAGAGAGCAAGAAGGCTGGTGAAGGGGAAGAGGAAAGGCATCCAAGGAGCTTTGCCTATAATGTGATTTTGCCTGGGGCCAGCACAAGATCTGATTTCCTCTGTGGTCTCCTATGTTGCTTGGAAGTTGTCGGAAGGCCACGGGGTCCACGTGCTAAAACCAGGTGTTCCAGTTCTACCATGAGTTCCATGACCTTTCAGCTCACATCACTTCCCCAGCAAATTTCCTCTTCTGTAAAATGGGGATCATAAATCCTGGCTCACCTAACTACCTTATGGGGTTATTGTAAGGCTCAAATGGGTCTGGGGACTTTTCAGTGTTTGGCTAACTGGAAACGACTGCACAGAGATGCTAGATGTTATTATTGACTTGATGTATACCTATGAGTTAAAAAGGGGGATGCATTTG